ATCATTGATGCCGGCACCCGAGGTTGTGCAGCCTGAGTTTCCTGAAGCATCTCCGCATTTGGGCTCACCTATGCCGCGAGCGAAATGGTCCTTCCAGTTTCGCTTGAGACATCCCGCCAATGCTGGGCTCAGATATGCTTCCACATGCAGTGGCCTTGCCAGTCTCCCCTCAAACGTCCCCCCTATTTGGGCTCCGCGTGCCGCGCGCAAGATGGCGCGGCCAGTATCGCTTCAGACACGATCGGAACTTTGACCTGAAAGATGTCCGGACCTGAAGTGGTCCAGCCATTCTCGCTTGAGACGTCCTCGCAACTCTGCGTCCAGAGATGCCACGCGAAAGATGCCCCGGCCATTTCCGCCTGTGACATCCTGCCAACTCTGGGCTCAAAATGCCGCTAACTTGAGGTGGCCTGGCCAGTCGCACTTGATTACCCCCGCCAACTGTGGCTCAGAGATGGCGCGCGCAGACGCCCAAGCAACTCCGAGACACCCAAGCAACTGCCGAGACACCCCAGCAACTTCCAAGCCAGATTCGCCTGAAGACCCAAGCAACTTTCGAGATAAGAGGTGCCCCCACCTAAAGTAATCCAGCCAGTCTCGCCTCAGAAGTCCTCCCCTGTTTGAGCTCACGCGTGCCGCGCGCGAGGAGGTCCGTCCAATTTCGCCTCAGATACAATCGCAATTTGGGCCTGAGAGAGATCTGAACTACAATGTCCAGCCACTCGCCTCAGATGGCGAACGAGAGATGCCCTGGCCAGTTTCACATATCCCCATGTCCTGGGAGCCCTTCCCCGCTCGTGCTACACCGCATGTCAATTCTGCATTGATCGATCGGCATCTGGCTTAAGCGTCCGCTGCGTCCTGGGCACGCCCGACGTCGCCGCCCCATCCGTTGAACAGCCATCGGCCGCGCCTCCTCGTACGATGGCCCCCAAGACGTCCAACGCGACGTACGACTACACCCCGACCCCGGCAGCATCGCCCGCTGCAGGTGCGCAAGCGCCACGTAACCGCAGGCATGTATCCCTCTACACTGAGCACGTCCTGGACATCAACAAACACAAGTCCAACGACATCCGCGTCACCGTCGCAGACGGCGCGAGCCTCCGTTTCCGGGCCGAGCGCAAGACACATGGACCCACCACGTTGTGGAAAGACGTCGTCGCCGTCCACGACCTCTCACCAGCACCTCTTGGAGTTCAGACCGCCCAGTGCGGTTTCGCACGAGCGTTCAGCCAGGGGAACCCCAATCCGAGCTGGGCGCACGCGCACGTGGCTTTCGGACTGAACCCGCGCACCGCCGCCGCCGCCCACAAGCACGTCATCCAGTTCACCGCGGACACTCTCACGCACAGCTACTTCGAGGCCGACTTTGAGGTCCCTGCGAATGAGAAGCGCTCGAGCTTCAAGATCACTTCAGCCAAAACCAACAACCGCCTCAGCCTCACCAGGCAGTTCAAGATGATGGACGGCACCGACAAGACAGTCAAGGAGCTTCACAACTTCTGCTTCGTGGTTGCGAGTAACGTCCCGGACAAGTTGCTCACCCCGCTGCGTAACCTCCAAAAAAGTACCCTCAGTTCATCACGTGGGCCTCGTGCGCGCCGAACACGCCCACGCAGGACACCGTGTCGTCAGCGCTCCCTTCGCCCACAGCAGAGCCCAGCGGGCCCCGCAAGCGCCGTGCAGCGGCGACGCCGACAGCCCCAATGACCAAGAAGCCAGCGAGGATGTCCAATAAGCAAAGTGCCCTGCAGGGTCCGCCCACCGAGCCATACAGATTTGCACACCGGGCGCGGGAGCGCTTCCTCTCGGGAAGTCCGGGACGCTGAGCTACACGCCGATTTTTTCAAGCAGGTTCGGGGGCGTTCGTCGCCGCTCCGATTTTGCAGAGCACCACGTCAGGATCGCCCCTGCACTCAGTGAGAAAAAACATCATCACCAAACTGTGCGGCGTCGCCGCCCGTGACCTTCCCTACCCAAATCTGCAGAGGTAGGAGGCCACCATCGTTGCCAGCACCCTTTTCGTTGTATTCACCTCATCCGAAGCCTCCCTCTCCCTTCCCCTGCCCTCGGCGTTGCATCCCCGCCTAAGCTTATCGCCGATGACCGTCGCGTGCGTCGCCCCTTGCCAACTCGGCGCGCGCGCACGGCGCGCGCGCACTCCGTGGGCCGACGCCCATGCGCCCGTGACCTTCCCATCCCCGTCCTTGCCCATCGCCGACGCTTCAGCCCGCATAGTCGCACTTCGCTCGCACACTGCGCGCCAGCGCATCGTGCCAAGACCTCCAAGCGAAGCGCAGCGAGCTTCAAGTTTTGTATATTTATATAACACATGTATGTGTGTATGCATGTATGTATGTATGCATGCATGTATGTATGTATGCATGCATGTATGTATGTCTGTCTGTCTGTCTGCATGTATGTATATATATATATAAGGTATCGATTACGAGCGAAATGTATACACACATATATGTATACATATGTATATTTACATGGCCGGATAATTATAACACTCGATCCTACAACGACCTCCCAGGAGTTGCCTCCTCAGATGGCCTGCCCCTCGTCCAGGGAGTGACGGCCTCTGCTCGAGCGCGCTCGTCAGAGCTCCGGCGGCGATCGCCGGCGCGCCCCGCATGTGCTCCGCCGGTTGTCCACGTCGCGCTCGGGGGAGAGCGTCCGCTCACGACGTAGAGGATAACATTAGGACGAGGAGGGAGGAGGAGGAGGAGGAGGAGGAGGAGGAGGAGGAGGAGGAGGAGGAGGAGGAGGAGGAGGGGGAGAAGGAGGAGGAGGATGAGGAGGAGAAGGAGGGCCGCCTGCGACCCGATCCGATGCGACTCGATTCCCCGGTTGGGGTCGCGATTTGGCTTCGATTCGGTTCGGTTTGATTCCTGGGCATCGGTCGGGGCCAGCCGTATAGCTGGACGCGGCGAGCCGACGGTAGAGGGAAACAATTAGTGGACACTCCCCCGCCCCCCAAAAGTCAAAGCTGGCACGCGCGGGGAGGACTCCGGTCGAAGTGCAGCTCATCCAACCCACCGCCAACATGGATCATTGGGGAGCATTGATGAGCATTGACAGATGAATGTGGCATGAGTGTTCGCTAAATTCTTCCGAGGCCTAGGAGGAGGAGGAGGAGGAGGAGGAGGAGGAGGAGGAGGAGGAGGAGGAGGAGGAGGAGGAGGAGGAGGAGGAGGAAGAGGAGTGGCGGAGGAGGAGGACGTGGAGCGTGGCTGGCGGAGGAGGAGGAGGAGGAGGAGGAGGAGGAGGAGGAGGAGGAGGAGGAGGAAGGAGGAGGAGGAGGAGGAGGAGGAGGAGGAAGAGGAGGAGGAGGAGGAGGAGGAGGAGGAGGAGGAGGAGAGGGAGGAGAGGGAGGAGGAGGAGGAGGAGGAGGAGGAGGAGGAGGAGGAGGAGGAGGAGGAGGAGGAGGAGGAGGAGGAGGAGGAGGAGGAGGAGGAGGAGGAGGAGGAGGAGGCGCGGGGAGGATGGCTGTTCAAGGTGGAGGACGAGCCAGGGGCCCCCGCCGCGCCACTCGGGCACAGCGCCCGCGAGCACGGCGCCCCGAGATGAGGGGGGGGGCACGGCCCTGCGGCAGGCCGCGCGGCGGGCGACGAGGCACGCCAGGGTTGTTGGGAGCCCAGGCTCTGCCAGCACAAGGATCCGCCGCGCACACAGCTCCTCCCTCCTCCCTCCTCCCTCTCCTCCCTCCTCCCTCCTCCCTCCTCCCTCCTCCCTCCTCCCTGGATGAAGGGGGCGTGGATTAGCGACGGGTCCCGTTTCCATGGGAGATGCCGGGTTCCCGCCGCCGAGCGAGGCGGCACCGGCCGCATTCTGGGGAGGGCACCTCCCCCGATCTATGGATTCGGGCGACCGCGCGCCAGATCCACGGATCGCTAATCCATGTTGGCGCGCCCCCGAAGCACGAGGATCCGCCGCGACAAACGCACACTGCCGAATTCTGGCTGCTCAGTGGCATTGGGTTCGCGGCCAATGTCTGTGTGGGGCCCCGTCAGACTGGGTACACGGATAGGGGGCAGCCTCTTCCGACCCTCTCTGGCGAGCCCAGAGCAGTTTTTTCGTTTTTTCTCCGTGCCCGTCGAGGGTCCATCTCCTCCACCCCACTCCTCCGAGCGTGCCCCTGTCGATTGGGGAGGCGGATGGAGACTTCCGTGCACTCCTTCCAGAGCAGGCTCGGAGCATGGCTCGTGTGCTGATATGTGTTTGTGGGCTCGTGATCTGCAACCTTCCTGTATGAATCGCATTCTAATTACGTGGGCGACCGCTCATACAGTCAAACCGCATCGTAAGGATGGGCACCCTTCCCAAGGGTACCCTTGGCACCCTTGCCTCCTCGGTCCATCCTTGGCCACTTCCGTTGGCCGCGCCCCGCTCGAAGAGCATCGACGTGGCCTTCCAAGGCCCCTGCATCCTTACCGCGCAGCCTTCTGCTACGGGCGGGCTGTCATCCGTGCCACGGGTAAGTTCCAATCAGGACCTCCCCGAGGCTCAGGAGGGGCTGCGATCCTCGGAGAAGGAGGAGGAGGAAAAGGAGGGAGGAGGAGGAGGAGGAGGAGGAGGAGGAGGAGGAGGAGGAGGAGGAGGCGGAGGAGGAGGAGGAGGAGCAGGAGGAGGAGGAGGAGGAGGAGGAGGAGGAGTGGGGAGGACGGTGGACCGGGCCCGCTCGGTCCCCGACACGGGCCGGCTCCGCGCCTCCCCCGCCGTCGGCCCGCTTGGCGGCCGAGCCGTCGGGCTCGCGCGCCGCCGCGGGCTGCGTCCCGCAGCGCCGTAGAGCGGGAGCCGCTTCGGCTCGGGCGCCCGCGTGGTGGCCGCGGGGTGCCGCCCGTGTCGGGGGCGGAAAAGAAGGGGGTGATGATTAGGGGGGGTGGATATCATGGCGGGGGCCATGATATTTCCCCAGATTTCATGGCGCCTCTTCTTATTTCATCACGTCCCTGGCCCCCCCGCTGGGCCGCGCACATGCCGCCGGTCATGATTTGCACCCCCCCCTCTTGGACACCCCCCTCTTGGCCGCTCCCAACCGTGCCGGCTCGGGCTGCCCGCCAGAGGCCGGGCACGCCTGCACTTAGAAGAGTGACCCCTCGCCGGAGTGGCCTCTGGTGCGGGCTCACCAGGGTCCCCCCGATTGCCGAGCGCGATGCGATAGATGGCTGCTCGCGCGCTTGGATTTGGCCACCTTGCGTCCCATTCTAATCCGCGCACTAAAGGTCACTCTTGCCTGGGGTCACTCTTGCGTGTGCGGTCGGACCGAGGTGTGAGGTCGAGGCCGGTTCGGGGAGGGTGCCCCGGAGTTTTTCGTGCTTGTTGGACGTTCTACACATGGTAGTGGTGGTGGAACATGGGCCCATCGCAACGTTCTTGAGTTGTGGAGGTCGGTCAATGGAGAGGAAGCATATAGCCAAATGATTCCCAGATGTCTCAAACATGTCTTAAACATGCTCAAAACATTGTTTAAACAGGTTTCAATGATGTTCAGAACATTTTCCGACACAATGTAAGCACATTTAATATTCAAGGATCGGACTGTGAGGGTGGCCATTGTCGTGGCATCCACAATCCTTGAGGGATGTTTCGGGCCGGGCGAAAGGGGGGGATTGGGAAAGGGGGGGGGGTACGAAATTTGCTGCATGCAGCCGGTTTCGGCCTCACCGAGGGGCCCACTCCTCGATACTATAGCCGCCTCCGGCGCCGGGAGGCGCCGGGAAAATCAGCTACGGGAGCTGATTCTCAACCCCCCGCCTTTGCTATCCCCCCCTTTCGCCCGGCCCGAATGTTCTTCTGGCCCGGGTCCGACGGCAGCCGCCGGGCGCAGCCGCCCGCCATGCGGCGGGCGCCGCGCCCCGAGCCCCTGCCGCTGCAGAAGGCCCGCGGTCGCCGCGGTCGTGCGCTCGTCGCCGCCGCTGCCGCTCGCCGCCGCCGCCGCCGCCGCCGCCGCCGCCGCCGTCGTCGTCGTCGTCGTCGTCGTCGTCGTCGTCGTCGTCGTCGTCGTCGTCGTCGTCGTCGTCGTCGTCGTCGTCGTCGTCGTCGAGGCTGCGGTCGTCGTGGGGTCGTCGTCGTCGTCGTGGTCGCTCTCGCTGTTCTTCGTCGTGGCTGGCAGGGCTGGGCGTCTTCGCGCCCTAGCCGTGGTGTTGGTCGTGGTCGTGGTCGCCGTCGTGGCCAGCGGTGCTGCTGTCAGCTGTCCAGTGGTAGTCGTCGTCGTCGTCGTCGTCGTCGTCGTCGTCGTCGTCGTCGTCGTCGTCGTCGTCGTCGTCGCCAGGCGAGACGATGATCACGTACGTGGCTGTGGGAGGCTCCCATGTTCTCGTCCTTCAGGAGTGCCTTGCCTTGCGCGGCGAGGAGGAGGAGGGGGAGGAGCACGAGGAAGAGTGGCCCCCCCGGTCCCCTCCTCCCTTCTTTTGCCTGCTCCTCATTCCATTCTTCTTGGGCGTTAGTTATCCTCCTCTTCCTCCCTCTCCCCCCCTCTACCTTTTTTTCTCCTTCCTCCTCATCCTGCTGGTGACCCAGGAGGGTGGAGAGCTTCTGGCCTGGGGCTCCAACCAGTACGGCCAGCTCGGCTGCGGATCCACGAGAGTGCAGAAGGCGCCCGTGCTGGTCCTCGAGCACGTCAGGGCCGTGGCGGCCGGCGAGTACCACTCGATGGCCGTGAACGAGGATGGAGACCTGCACGTCTGGGGGTGCAACAGCAGCGGCCAGCTGGGAGATGGCACCACGGAGCACCGCGCAGAGCCGAAGGTGGTGCTGGAGCACATCGACCTGATCGCCGCGGGAGGGGGGCACAGCCTTGCGCTGCAGAAGCCGCCGCCGAAGGGCCTGAAGCGCCAGACGCTGTTCGCCTGGGGCATGGACGCGTGTGAGGACGGCAGTGCGCGCTGCACCATCACCGGCGTCGCCATGGTGCTATCGCCGCAGCGGATCTGGGAAGACTCCGGGCAGGACGGTAGGGCCATCGTCGCCATCGCCTGCGGCCGCAACCACAGCATGGCCGTCGTGGAGGACGGGGCGTGCCTGACCTGGGGCCGCAACGGCCACGGCCAGCTCGGGGACGGCCTGACGCGCAGCAGGCTGGAGCCGACGAAGGTTCAAGCAGTGGCGAAGCGTCCTGGCTCGCCTATAGCCGTACCAAACAATGTTCTGAGAACCTTTCTGGTTTCCACGCAATGTTCTTGGAACATTTTTGGCGGAGCCTGTCTTGTTTGAACACATCGGGTTTATGTTCTAAGAACCGTGTTTTTGTTCTTAGAGCATTTTTGGGTTCTAAGAGCATTTCGTGGTTGGACTATAGGAAGGCCAGGACGGTCGGTCCCTGCTCCAAAGGTGGCAGACGGCGTCGCGGCAGTGTCGGCGGGCTTGGAATACAGCCTCGCGGTCACCCGCGACGGACGCCTGCTCGCCTGGGGCTGCAACGGCAGCGCCAGGCTCGGGACGGGCGACCTCGTGGACCGGCTGCTGCCCACGGAGGTCTTCCGGGACGTCGCCGCCGCGGTCGCGGGCGTCTACCACGCGGTCGCCCTGCTCTCGAACGGCGACTGCGTGGGCTGGGGCTGCAACCTCCACGACTGCCTGGGCCACGGGCTCCCCCTAGAGGTGGTGAGGCCCACGAGGGTGCTCGTGAGCGGGGCGTGGAAGGCCTCGCTGGGCACCCACCAGACCTTCGCTCTCATGGGGTCCGGCGAGGTCTTCACCTGGGGCCTGCAGGCGAGAGACCTCGACGAGAGCATGCAGCGGTGCCGCGAGTTCGTGCCGAAGCCCAAGAGGCCAGGGGCCGACGACTTGACGGGCACGGCGCTGGCCAGCGAGGAGAGGCAGGAGTTCCACTTCTCCGAGGAGCGCTCGGTCAGTGCTGCTCACGCCTTAGTTCCTGACCCCCGGAGGTCCCCAGAGACCCCCGGGAGGCTCGACCAGGGCCGAAAGCGACCGAACACCTCCCCCCGCGACCCTCAATCCCTGCCCCCGCGCTGTTCGGCACCTAGCCCACCAGCATTCGACACCTAGAATTCAACCCTCGTGTGGTCCTCGCCCATAGCCATGCGGATAATAACTGCCCCCCTGCGTACCAACCCTAACGAATCATAGGGACATCGTAGAGTATTGTGTTTACGAGATTTACCCTGATGAGGCCAAGGTGCATTATGATGAAGATGAAGCAAAAGTCCACCGTGAAGCCAACATTATCATGATGAAGCCCACAAATTTGTCATGACAATGTTTACCACGGGGGCCGACGACGACGACGTCGCCGACGACGCCGACGACGACGACGACGACGACGACGACAACGACCACGCAGACCACGACGACGACGACGTCGACGACGACGACGACGACGACGACGACGACGACCACGACGACCACGACGACCACGACGACCACGTCCACGACCACGACCACGACCACGATGGCATGGGCCCGCATGCAGAAGACACCCCCGGCGCTGCCGACAGAGCTCCATTCATGGGGCACGGTCCGCGCATGGGGCTGTGCCGAAATGGGCGTGGGCGGGCCCGCATGCGGGCGCTCCCACCGGGGCTCGCGGCTCCGACGACGGCGACGACGAGCGATCTCGACGGCGACCCCGAGGACTCCGCCGGAGACTCCGACTCCGACGACGACGGCGTCGATGCCGGCGAGGACTCCCACTCTGACGACGCTGACGGGAAATCCGACGAGTCCGACTCCGACAGCTATGACGATGTCCACGTTCTTGACCTTGGCGGGGGCGGCTGTCCCCAGATCCCTGAGACACTTGTCGGGGAAAAGCGAGTCACCACCCATCAAACCACCCGAACCCAACCCGAAGGCCTCAATATGTCCTCCATTTCCAGTGGGGGTCGAGGAGCATTGAAAAAACACATGTGGAACCCGTACCCCCCTCCCAACCCGAAATTCGGGTCTTCGGGTTGGGTTGGGGTGGTCTGGTAGGTAGTCAGTGAGACTCGAGTGCGCCGGAACTCGGGTTTGCCGACACTTTGTGACGAGCGCGTCCCGGGTTTTGACGGTCCAGTTTTCGTGTGATGTCTGGAGTTCGCGTCAAATTTCAGACTGGGTCTCGTCATTTTCATGATCGCCCCGCCAGGCCAATCCGAGTCCCCCCGAACCCGAGGCTTACGTCTCCCCGTACTTGTCTACGGATCCCGATCGCGGGGGCGGGTGTCGCTGGATCCCGCGGTGGGCAGGAGCAGCTGTTCCAGGGATCCCCGTGACTGCTGCCATAAAAAAACGCTCCCGTGGGATCATCGAAACCGCCGCGGCTGCCTCTTGCGGCTTGCTGCCTGCTGGTGGGCCTCTGGCATATTGGATATCAGGAGCTTGGAGTCGGCAGCCCTTGGCACGGCGCGCTGGGGACGGCATGTTGGAGCCCGACCGGGTCGGCCAGGGGATCTCGCACCCAGGCGTTGGTCGGAATGACCAGGCGTTGGTCGGAATGACGCCAGGCTTTTTTCGAGAAAATGTCCTTGTGCGTGTGCGCGCGCGCGCGTGTGTGTGTGTGTGTGTGTGTGTGTGTGTGTGTGTGTGTGTGTGTGTGTGTGTGTGTGTGTGTATGTGTGTTTGCGTGTGCGTGTGCATGTGCGTGTGCGTGTGCGTGTGCGTGTGCGCGTGCGCGTGCGCGTGCGCGTGCGTGTGCGTGTGCGTGTGCGTGTGCGGGTGTGCGTGTGCGTGTGCGTGTGCGTGTGTGCGTGTGCGTGTGCGTGTGTGTGTGTGTGTGTGTGAGTGTGTGTGTGTGTGTGTGTGTGTGTGTGTGTGTGTGTGTGTGTGTGTGTGTGTGTGGTGTGTGTGTGTGTGTGTGTGTGTGTGTGTGTGTGTGTGTGTGTGTGTGTGTGTGTGTGTGTGTGTGTGTGTGTGTGTGTGTGTGTGTGTGTGTGTGTGCGTGCGTGCGTGCGTGCGTGCGTGCGTGCGTGTGTGCGTGCGTGTGTTCGTGCGGGCGTGCGTGCGTGCGTGGGTGCGAATGTGGGTGTGTGTGTGTGTGTGTGTGCGTGCGTGCGTGCGTGCGTGCGTGCGTGCGTGTGTGTGCATGTGTGTGTGCGTGGGCGTGGGTGGCAGGGAAGGCCTGTCACCCTGGCTTTGCGGTCCTGACCTGCCTCTCTGGCACAAACCGAAGGGCTTCACGTTCTGAGGGTGCTGTGGCCACCCCGCGGCCCCCTGTCGACTGGGCCTGATGGTAATTCCCTACAACGCACCCCGGTATCGCTGAGCCGGCACCATGAGCTGGCCGCCATTCTATCGTCATTGTCCCGTCGCCAATCTCCGCCACCGTGCCTCTGGGCACGGAGTGGGTGTGTCCTCAGGTCCTTTGCCTAATCGCTGGAGCCTCAGACCTCGGTCCTGAGAAGTCGTTGAGGGCCTGGACCCCGAATTCTCACATTTAATTTGGCGGGGCTTGTCGCGTGCCCTCTGGGACCCGTCGCGGATTGCCGCATAATTTTTTCGGGCCCAAGACGATCCCAAGGCGGGCCAAGAGGGCCCCACGAGGCCCTCAAGACGGTCCAGTAGGGCCCCGAGCCGCCGAAACATCGTTCTCAGACGCCCAAGATGGCCTCAAGATGGCCCAAAAGGCGTCCGAGACGACCCAGAGGCCTCCAAGAGGCCTCCCGAGAGGGCCCCAAGAGGCAAATATCATTGATTGTGGTCCGGTGTTTGAAGAGTTTTGGCGTTCTCGCCTTTGGGGCTTTTCAACGCTACAAGACGGCCCAAGAGGACCCCAAGTCCACGCCATAACGGCCCAAGAGGCCTCCAAGAGGGCCCCAAACCAGCCTAAGAGCGCCCCAAGACGGCCCAAGAGGCGCCCAAGACGGTACAAGAGGGCCCCAAGACGGCCCCAGAGAGACCCAAGAGAGGGAACACGATCCGAAATTCCGAGCTTTCCACCCCAAGGGCCCCCCACGAGGGACCCTGGCAACGACAACAACTCCGATGACGACGTCGACGACGACGTCGACGACTACGACGGTGGCGACGTGGACATCGACGACTCAGACGACGACCCAACGACGGTGATGACGGCGACGACTCCAACGATTTTGACTCCGATGACAACGAGTCAGGCGACGACAACTCCGACGACAACGACGGCTCTGAGTCCGATTCCGATGACTCCAACAACAACTCCGACGGCAACTTCGACATCGACGACAACGCCGCCGCCGCCGCCGCCGACGACGACGACGACGACGACGAACGACGACGGTGTCGGAGTCGGTGTCAGAGTCGGAGTCGTCGTTTGTGCCAGAATCGGAGTCGGAGTCCTCGGAGTCGTCGGAGGCATTCGAATCGTAGTCGCCGTCGTCATTAGGTTTGTCCGATTCGTCGCCCTCGTTATCGAAGCCAGAGTCGTGGTCGTCGTCGTCGGCGGAGTCGTCATCGTCGACGGAGTCGTCGTCATCGGAGTCGCGTTTGTCCGAGTTGTCGTCTTACGAGTCGGAGTTGTCCTTGTAAGAGTCCGAGCAGTTGCTGTCGTCGTCGTCGTCGGAGTCGTCGTCGTCGTCGTCGGAGTCGTCGTCGTCGCCGTCGTCGTCGTCGTCGTCGTAGCCGTCGTCGTCGGGGTCGTTCGAATTATCGGAGCCACGTCGCCGTCGCCGTCGCCGCCCGAGTCAGAACGGTCGGAGTCGCCGTCGTCGTCATCGTCGGCGTCGGTGTCGGAGTCGCCGGAGTCCGCGACGTCGTCGTCGGCATTGTCGGCGTCGTCGTTGTCGAAGTCGCCATCGTGGTTGGAATCGGAATCCTCGTCAGAGTCATGGTCGGCGTCGTCTTCGTAACCAAAGTCGGAGTCGAAGTCATCGGAGTCGTCGTCGCCAGCGGAGTCTGGGTCGCCGTCGTCGGATGTGCCGCTCTGGAGCCGGAGCCGTCGTCGGAGTCGCCGCCGTCGTCGGCGTCGGCGTCGGAATCTTCGGCGGAGTCCTCGGAGTCGCCATCGGAGTCGCTCGTCGTCGTCGTCGTCGTCGTCGTCGTCGTCGTCGTCGCCGTCACCCGAGTCGTCGGCCCCAGCGGGAGCGCCCTCACGTCGGCCTACGACCACTTCGGCACAGCCCCTGCGCGGATCGTGCCCCCCCCGCAGGGAGCTCCGTCCACGGCCCCAGGGGTGACATCTGCATGCGGGTCCATGCCGCCGTGGGTCGCCGTCGTCGCGAAGGGCCCTCCTCCTCCTCCTCCTCCTCCTCCTCGTCCTCCTCCTCCTCCTCGTCCTCCTCCTCGTCCTCCTCCTCCTCCTCCTCCGCCTCCTCCGCCTCCTCGGCCCCCTAGAGGACGACCCCAAAGGCAAATGTCTCCTTGTAAGTCCTGGCTTCCTCATGATGGGCCTTGGCTTCACGATCGCTCTTTCCTTTGTCGTGGTAGGTCTTGACTCCATCATGGTACACCTCGTCAGACCGATTCTCTATGATTTCCCCCATGGCCTGCTGGGGGCCAGCATGCAGGGGGGTGGCTATCAATATTATCATTTCTAACAGAAACAATGGTCCTAGCGGTCTTGTGCGGGTTGTCTTGTGCAGTCTTGTGTTGGCTCTGTCTTGTGCGAGGTCTCAGCCACGCTGACGGACTCGTACTCTGCACATATGTTGGACAAGCGCCTTCTCTGCACAAGCCGTCCTGCGCGCGTCTTGTGCGCGACCACTCTCCGCTCGACCATTGCTTCTGCTAGAAATAGTACGACTACAGTCGGCCCGGATTAGTAGGTCGACCCTGCCAAATCAAGGGTACCCTTGTATCCTGTGTCTCGCGACCCATGCTTCCTACATTCCTGTGGCAATGTGGCCCTCGGAAGGTCTTGTGTCCTCTCGCGTGTCCTGTCCAATCAAGGCCGACTGGATGGGCGGGGACCCCGCGAGGGTCGCACCTTGCGTGCCGCACGCTCCGTGGGCCAGGTGCAGCACAGCGCGGGCAGAGAGCCCCCGAGGGCCGAGGGCGAGACCCGGCAGGAGCGGTAAAGTCGGGCACGTCCCTCTACAGGAGGAATATGCAAGCTTAGTTTGGAGTAGGGCACGTTCCTCTGCAGGAGGCACGTGCACGCATAGTTTAAGAATCGTCAGGGGCCGATGTTTTGTGTTTGTTTGACCATGCTGGAGTATGTTTTGACGATGTTTTAATTCTACTTCCAAAATCCGCCTGTAGGAGGACGCGCCCGACCCGGCAGGAGCGCTACGTGCACCCGCCGCTCGCCGATCCCGCCCCCCCCGACGACGCGGAGGGCCCCGGGCGGCGGTCTCCGAGCCCGCCGGGCGCGAGGCCGCCCGGCGGCGCGCAGGATGTCGACGTCGACTGGCAGGAGCTGGGCCTCCCCGACGGGGCCCGGGCAGATGGCGACGGGCAAGTTCTCCGCCACCACAACCGCTCCTCCTTCCTCCTCCTCCTCCTCCTCCTCCGCCTCCTCCTCCTCCCCCTCCGCCTCCTCCTCCTCCTCCTCTTCCTTCCTCCTCCTCCCTCCTCCTCCTCCTCCTCTCCTCCTCCCCTCATCCTCCTCCTCCTCCTCCTCCTCCTCCTCCCTCCTCCCTCCTCCTCCTCCTCCTCCTCTCCTCCTCTCCTCCTCCTTCCTCCTCCTCCTCCTCCTCCTCCTCCTCCTCCTCCCCCCCCTCTCTTACTTCTGGTGGTGGTGGTGGTGGTGGAAAACGGGCCCATCAGATGGGGTCGGCGGCTCGCGCCGCATCGCCGATGCATCGACGATGCGGCTCGAAGTGTCGCCCTTGCTTCTCTACGCCGACGTCGCCGATGCATCGCCAATGTATCGGCGCTGCGGCGCGATCCCCCGGCCCCACCTACGCCGACCCCATCTGGGAGGCCTCTCATCTGGGCCTCCCAGACGGGGCCCGAGCAGACGGTCGGCGGCGAGCCCCAGGGGGGAGTCGAAGGAGAAAGAACGGCATAAGCCTAAATGTTTGGCGCCTCCAGCGATCCCAAGGTCAGGGGCGCGCGTTCTGCGGCCTTCTATAGAGGAGCAAGGAAACCTCCTCCTCCTCCTTCTCCTCCTCCTCCTCCTCCTCCTCCTGATCCTCCTCCTCCTCCTCCTGCACCTCCACCTCCACCTCCACCTCCACCTCCACCTCCTCGTCGTCGTCCTCCTCCTACTCCTCCTCCTCCTTCCTCCTCCTCCTATAGAGGAACATAGAAACTGCATAAATATTAACTTTGGGCGCTCCGCGCGGATTTCTTGGATCCGCGCTGGCGCGCGAAGCGCGCCCAGGCGCGGCGCCAGAGGCGCCGCCGGGGGCCCAGCGCGGACCCTCGCAGGCCTCCTCCTCCTCCTCCTCCTCCTCCTTCTCCCCCTTCCTGCCTCCTCCTCCTCCTCCTCTCCTCCTCCTCCTCCTCCACTCCTTCTCCTCATAGAGAACTTCTCCCTGTCGCACCCCGAGGCCAGCTTTTATGGCGGGCCGGGCGTTTCGCCTGAGACTTCTTCACCATTTACGATTCTGAAGTGTAAAAAAGTGGCAACAGCTTCACATATGGAGGGCGGTTGTTTTTCAAAATGTGGTTCTCGCCTTGGCGCCGCGCACATTCGTTTTAAACATTTGCAACAGCTTCACGGATTGAGGGCGGGTCGTTTTCAACATGTGGCTCTCGCCTAGCGCCGCGCACATTCGTTTAAAACATGCAAGAGTTTCACGGGTTGAGGGCGGGCTGTTTTCAAAGTGTGGCTCTCGCCTTAGCGCCGCGCACATTCGTTTTCAAAGTTTGCAAGAGCTTCACTGATTGAGGGCGGTTTCTTTTCAAACTGTGGCTCTCGCCTTGGCGCCGCGCACATTCGTTTTAAACGTTTTTCGCAAGAGCTTCACGGATTGAGGGCGGTTCCTTTCCAACATGTGGCTCTCACCTTAGCGCCGCGTGCATTCGTTTTCAACATGTGCAAGAGCTTCATGGGCTGAGGGCGTCTCCTTTTCAAAATGTGGCTCTCGCTTTAGCGCCGCGCACATGAGATTTAAACATTTGCAAGAGTTTCACTGGCTCCCATGATCAATGTACCAGAAATGGTATTTTGGAAAGGGTTCTGGATTATGCGGGCGCAACTGTTTATTCGTGGTGTTGAAGTCCCCAAAAAGCCGTTCTGGCACGATTCTGGATCGTCAAGACGCAGCAGTCAAGTTGAAACGTGGCGCTGAAATCCCGATTGTGATGTTATGGCACGCTTCAGGATCTTCCAACGGTTGTTTTCCAACGAGGTAGTTCCCTCAATGGAAATGAACCGCTGTATGGGGCTTACGAAGAGGGAGTTTGGAGGGAGGGTTCATTCCAACATCGTTGATGACCTTTGGGTTTACACTGGTCCTCTTCCTCCTTTTCCTCCTCCTTCTCCTCCTCCATTCCTTCTCCTTGTAGATAACTTCTCCCTGTCGCGCCCCGAGTCCAGTTTTTAGGGCGGGCCAGGCGTTTCGCCTGAGACCTCCTCACCATCTATGACTCTGAAGTTTAAAAAATAGCAACAGCTTCACATATGGAGGGCGGTTGTTTTTCAAAATGTGGTTCTCGCCTTGGCGCCGCGCACATTCGTTGTAAACATTTGCAGAAGCTTCACGGATTGAGGGCGGGTCGTTTTCAAAATGTGGCTTTCGCCTTAGCGCCGCGCGCATTCGTTTTAAAACAGGCAAGAGCTTCACGGATTGAGGGCGAGTCGTTTTTTCAATGCGGCTCTCGCCTTAGCGCCGCGCGCAGTCATTGTAAGAATTGCAAGAGCTTCACGGATTGAGGGCGGTTCCTTTCAAAATGTGGCTCTCGCCTTAGCGCCGCGCACATTCGTTGTAAAACAATGCAAGAGTCTCACGGATTTCCATCGTCAGCGTACCAAAAATGTTCCAACCATATCATTTTGGAAGGATTCGGGATTATATGGGTGCAACAGTTATGTTGGTTCGCGGTGTTGAAATCACAGAAATGGCGTTCTGACGCGATTCCGGATCGCCAAGACGCAGCACTGAGGTTGATACGTGGCGTTGAAATCCCGAGAACCAGGCTTTGGCATGCTTCAGGATCTTCAAATGGTTGTTTTCCAACGGGGCAGTTCCCTCAATGGAAATGAACCGTTGTAGGGGCCTATGAAGAGGGAGCTCGGAGGGTTAATTCCAACATCGTTAATGATCCTTGGGTTTACACTGGTCCTCCTCCTCCTCCTCCTCCTCCTCCTCCTCCTCCTCCTCCTCCTCCTCAGAGGTTGACACCAACACCAATATCGGCGGTGTGCCTGATCTCGGCGATGGCCCTGAGATCTGACGCTCCAAAATAAGAGCAGGCGTTTTTTCACCGTTTTCGGCCTCAGGGGGCCTTCGCCGGGCCTCGGGAGCGTGAAAAAACGATTCAGGACGAAAATCCGGCCCCAGGGAAGTGGTCCGGACCTCCGGGGTCCACGCACCCAAAATATTGGGGCAGCTGGATGTCTGGGGGTGGTAATAGTCTGGCTTCCAAGGTTACCGAAATTGTACCACCAGCACCGAAATCTAGGATCACCTCCCCCCTGTGGAGGCACCCCCCTGTGTCGGTGCTGTTGCCCGTTTCCAGGCCTCCGGAATCCGCGCGGAGCGCCAAAAGCTGATGTGCGACGGCGCGTGGAAGCTTCTCGGCAGGCCAGCGCGCTCTGGAGAGACCCCGCGCCGCCTTCGGAGAAGGCCTTCGCCCTCTCGCTTTCCCCCCCCCCCCGGGCTCGCCGCCGAGACGGGGTCGGACGGGGCCGGTGGGTCGTGCCGCATCGCCGATGCATCGGCGATGCGGGGCGGTCCTCCGGTCCCTTCTGCTCGGGGGCTGCGAAAGGTGCCCTTGGCCCGGGATGCCCCCAGCTTTTTTCGCTCCTCCTTGAGGCCCCGGGCCCTTCTGGGCCTCGCGAGGGGTGCTCTGGAGACCGTGGGGGCCTCCTCGGAAATCCTGGGGGCACCTTGGGCCAGGGGCACTTCGGGTGTTGCTAGAGGTGCCCCTGGCCCAAGGTGCCCCTAGCTTTTCGCTCCATTTTGGAGCCTCTTGGGCCCTCTGGGCCTCGTGAAGGGTCCCCTGGAGGCCGTCTAGGCTACCCCGAGACTCCTGGGGGCACCTTGGGCCAGGGGCACTTCTGGCAGCACCCGATCTGCCCGGGCCCCACGTATAGGAAGCCTCTGCAGGAGGGGGGCCTTACGGCGGTGCTGGACGCCTGGCGGTGCGCACAAGGGGGGGGGGGCTGGGGCGGCGCGAGGAACGGGGGCAGCGTTGGAGGGATAACGCCAGAGGAGGAACGGGCACATGGCACAGGGCACAGGAGGAGGAGGAGGAGGAGGAGGAGGAGGAGGAGGAGGAGGAGGAGGAGGAGGAGGAGGGAGGAGGAGGAGGAGGAGGAGGAGGAGGAGGAGGAGAAGGAGGGAGGAGGAGGAGGAGGAGGAGGAGGAGGAGGAGGAGGGGAGGAGGGAGGAGGAGGGAGGGAGGGAGGGAGGAGGGAGGGAGGGAGGGAGGGAGGGGGGAGGGAGGGGGGAGGGAGGGAGGGAGGGAGGAGGGAGGGAGGGAGGGAGGGGAGGGAGGGGGGAGGGAGGGAGGGAGGAGGGGAGGAGGAGGAGGAGGAGGAGGAGGAGGAGGGGAGGAGGAGGGAGGAGGAGGAGGAGGAGGAGGAGGAGGAGGAGGAGGAGGAGGAGGAGGAGGAGGAGGAGGAGGAGGAGGAGGAGGAGGAGGAGGAGAGGAGGAGGAGGAGGAGGAGGAGGAGGAGGAGGAGGAGGAGGGAGGAGGAGGAGGAGGAGGAGGAGGAGGAGGGGAGGAGGAGGAGGAGGAGGAGGAGAAGGAGGAGGAGGGAGGAGGAGGAGGAGGGGGAGGAGTGTGTATCCTTCCCCTCGTTTTCCCTTCTGTGGGCTTCCTCGGAGGCCCTCGTCGCCGCGGCTGAGCTTGCCTCGGACACCGGGTCAGGACGCACCCCTGGAGGGGTCCAGGGAGCAGAGGCATCGGTACCCTTTGGTGTTCCCAGGATAGGCTCGGGGGGGACGCGTGGACCCCCCAATCGCCCATCCACTGCCGAGAAGGGGGCCCGGTGGCCCACCCCTCCCGGGACCGTGCGGCTTCGCTGTCGGGTGTGCTTACGGTCAGGCCGAGGCATCAGGTCGAGGTCGACGTGGGGATGGCGCCCTGCTGCTCTTCGTGCTCGTTGGCTGTTCTCGTGCATCCTCGGGGAGGGCACCCTCGAGCGTTCTTCGGTTTGGCTGTCCTAGGTTTGGCCGTAATCACCCCCCCTCGCTGATGCAGCGGGCCCGTCAAGGAAGAGACCGGCCTGCCAGCGGGTGCCCCAGGGAAGCTCCTCATCCCCCGATGGCCCTGGGGCTCCGCAGAGGGTGTGGGGCATCCCAGGACCTTGAAAGATCCTGCAGCTAGATTGCGAAGGCCTTGCGGCCGATGCCGCCGACCCCGTAGGCAGCGACGACGAAGACAGTGGAGGTGGAGGAGTCCCAGATGCCCTCAGATGGCTCGAAGACGGCGCCAGAGGCTTGCAGGGTCGTCCGAGGACAGCTCGATTTCTCATCGTATCCGCACCCATCAGGGATCTTAAGAAAACGCGGCAAAACGTGCATAGGCTCCAGTGGGGCCGGCGGAGGGCCTCCTGCTCTTTGAGTCTGCTCTTCTGCCCTGGGTCGGGCCGGAAGGCCTCCTCGGGAGCCTCGGGGCCCTCCCCCGAGGGTAAAACGACACGAAGATCGGGACAAAATCGGATCGGGATAACTCGAAATCTCTGAGAATCGGCGGGTTTGGAGGATGTATTGGGCGCCGCGGCCGCTCCAGAGCGTTCCGGAACGCTCTGAGAGCGCTCCGGAACGCTCTGGAGCGATTTTTATCCCGATCCTAGCCCTGTTTTAGAGGGCCCGCGCCGTCCAAGAATCAGGAGGGGAAACAACGCACAGACACAGTCAATCGTCGATTCCTCAGAAAAGATAGGAAAATATGGGAAGTGGGGGGGAAGACAAAAACCTGGAAAATATCGGAAAACATGGGGGACAACTGTTATTAGTGTGTGTATTTATTTGTGTGTCCCAGGGCCCCTTCAAAGAAGCACCCCTCGGATGGCGCCAGGACGAGGATAAATCCGTTCCGGAGCGTGTCGGAGCGCTCTCAGGGCGTTCTGGAAGGCCGCGCCCGAGACATTCTCCAGAGCCCCCGGATCTCAGAGATCCTCGATTTGTGCTCGCGCGAATGGATCCTCGTCTTGGCCTCGTCTTAGGCGCCCCCGCCCTCTTGGGGCACGTCGACCAAGAAGCCGGCCTGGCGACTGGTACAGTCGGGGCGCTGAAGAAGGAACCCTTCTCGTTGGGGAGGGGCTCCGTGTTCCTTCATTGTTTTGCAGCTTGCCTGAGGTTCTCCTTAGGTTTTCGATGGGAAATCAAAGTTTGACCTTTGGAAAAATGGGGGCCCGTTGCTTAATCATGTAGGGTTCCTTAGGTCAACGCCCATGATGTATGGCCCACTGGAGTTTCCTGTCCCCCGGTGGCCCCCAGGGGCGCACGGGAGCCCCGGGGCACCTCGGGAGGCTCGAAGCTCCACGACGAGCTCGCCCCATGGGCCTGATACTCGCAGGAGAAAGAGGAGGAGGAGGGAGGAGGAGGAGGAGGCGGAGGAGGAGGCTTTTTCTAGCAGGGCTTTTCTTCGTACACGTCTGCTGTAGAGGGCGGCTCCCCTAACGAGTGCGCGAGCGGGGTCAGGTAAGGCAAACAGGGCCTTGCAAGCTCTCTCGGAGGTGGTCCGCCGCTGCGTGCGGAACGCGTGAGTCAGAGCTCGCTCCTCCTAAACCTCTTGCAGCCTCGTGTGCGTCTGCTGCCAGAGGGCGGCTCCCGCCCCCGCCCCCCCCCCCCGCACCGCGGAATACAGTAGAGTGGAGTAGGTTTGAGCAGAGCAGGGGTAGGTGAGAGGAGGATCGAGCAGGAGAATCGAGCAGGACTCGAGTAGAGTAGGAGTCGAGGGGAGTCAAGTAGAAGTAGCGTAAGACGGAGTAGAGTAGGGTAGGGTAGGGTTCGGACGGGGCAAGGGAGCTCCCGAGCGAAGTGAACCCCGCCCTCCCCCTCAGAAATCGTGGGGGGTGGGGGTAGGGTTCGCATGTGGCCCCCTGAGGGTGGGTTTGCGGTGTGGTGGGGTGCGCGCCACGCCCCCGCGCGCGCTGCCCGAGGACGGGCACGGGCAGAGGCGCGCGGCGCGGCTCGTCGAGCAGGTGCACCAGAGGGCCCGCCAGAGGACCAGGGGGCGGGCGGAGGTCGTCGAGGGCTTGGCTCGACTTCGCGTAGGGGTGGCCCTTCTCGACCAAAAGGCAAACGACACCACCCCACCTGCGGCCTTCCATGTTGCCCTACGGCCCATCGGGCTCCGTAGCGTATTCCGCGCAAAAGCCGACGCCAGATTTCCTGGTGTACGCTAAGTCCCTTGGGGCCGCAGGTGGGGTGGTGTCGTTTGTTTTCTGGTCCACCTTTGCCGGAGTGACCTTTGGTGCGGGCCCACTGGGGTCCCCCGATCGCCGAACGCGATGCGATAGTAGCGTCTTGCGTGCGTGTGTTTAGTCCCCCCACGGCTCCCCAAAAGCCGCGCACTAAAAGGTCATTCTTAACCCAGGATCGCGCCTGCGTGTAGCCGATGCACGTAAGAGTGCCCCTTCGCCAGAGCGAGCTTTTGCGGGCCCACTGGGGTCTCCCGACCACTGAAAGCGATGCGACACCAACGGCTTGCGCGCTTGGACTTGGGCCCCCCGCGCCCCCCGAACGCCGCGCACCAGAGGTCTCTTGCTTGGGGCCAGTCTCACGTGTAGCCGATCAGCGACTTCTGCTGTCCCTCGACTCGCGCCAGACACACAAACACTTTTTTACGTCGGCGGCTAGGAAGAGTCACTGCGCTGGCGAGGAAGCGAAACGGGGCTGCCTTAAGGCGAAATGTGCCACCATGCAGGAGGGGAGAAGAAGGCGACGAAGCGACGGCCGAGAGGAAAAGAAAGCGGGACGGGGCCGCTCGGAGGAACGTGCCGTTCCCTGGTCTCTAGGAGAACCATGAGAGACCGACACGCAAACACACGGGTCCACAGGATGTTTCTTCAGCGCCCATACCCCGTTACCCCATACCACATGACATGGATAGCTGTGCCACACAGACTAGACGACGATGGGAGGACGCAGCTGTGGAGCACACACACACACACACACACTCACACTCTAGCGTTAAGTCGGGCGTGTCCCTCTCTACAGGAGGCGTATTCAAAAATCATAACAATCGTTGGGGACGAGGTTTCGATTACTGTTTGACCATGGTTGAGCATTTTTCGAGTATCTTTGATTCTTGGTGCAAATCTGCCTGTGGGGGGGTGGGCATGCCCGACCCAACCCCAGCGCCTGCAGCACGCTCAACTGGTGCACCCGGGCCTCCGAGGGCCCGCCGCGCTGCCCACCAGCGGGCCGTCCTCGGACGTCCTGCGCGTGTCTGCCTGGCTGGCTGCCTGTCCTTCCGTCTGTCCGTCTGCCCGTCTGTCCGTCTGTCTGTCTGTCCGTGCCGCGTCCCTCCTCCCGTACATGGACATTATATTCGAACCTTGCGGCCCAAGCTGCCACCCAGACCCCCCGAAGTTGATATTGATGGCGTGGCGCCGGGGGGGGGGCGTGAGTGGACAGAAATATTCGAACCCCAGAGCACCGCCTTCACTGAGATCAACATTGCTGTCGGGGGCGCGGGGGTGATTTAGAATCTCCCTCGAATGTGTAAGGGTTCGAATATTATTGTCCATCTACTCTCCCTCCTCCTCCTGCGTGGTGGCACACTTCGGCCCGACAGCACCTCCGCTCGTGCCGTTCAGCGCCAGCGCAGTCACCCCCCGCCCAGCCGCCGACGCACAACAGGCCTGCCTGCCTGCCTGCCTGTCTGTCTGTCTGTCTGTCTGTCTGTCTGTCTGTCTGTCTGTCCGTCTGGGCCTCGCTGGTGCGGATATCGCCTCCGCCGCGCCGCCGACGGAAAAGGTCTGTCTGTCTGTCTGTCCGTCTGACGGGGCCCATCGGTGCCTCCGATTAGCTCCTTCGCTGCTGCGGATCGCCTCCGCCTCGCCGCCGACGGAAAAAGTCTGTCTGTCTGTCTGTCTGTCTGGCTGTCTGGCTGCCTGGCTGTCTCGACTCGCGCCAGAGCGTCCAAGATATGCCTCAGATTTCCCAGGAGCTCTCTGGATCTACTTTGACCTATCAGGATTTGCCCGAATTGCACTGGTTTGTCTCGATTATCTATTGCCTGATCCCCGCAAGGCGATTGGAGAGAATCAGTCAAGCCCTTGTGGAGAAAGGGGGACGGTAAAGGGAGGGCTGCGAAATGTGCCGCATGCAGCTGGTTTCGGCTCCGCAGCCCTGGCGTCTTCCTCGACACATTGGTGCTTTTCCCAACGGAGCCGCGCGAGCCGACTGACTATGGTCGCACCGAGGTATACGTAGCGCCTCGCGATGCGGATAAGTGTGAGGGGGCGGTGGGGACGTCGGCAGTTTGCGAGACTCTGGAGAAGCCCGCCGCAGGCGCCAAAGTTCCGAATTATCCGAGTGAGGGGGCCGAACGGTCATTCATTGTCCCTGGGTGCGTGGCTGAATCAGGAATTCGTGGTGAGAATTCTGCGTGTTGCGTTGTTGTTGTTGTTGATGTTTATGTTGATGTTGATGCTGTTGTTGTTGTTGTTGTTGTTGTTGTTGTTGTTGTTGTTGTTGTTGTTGTTGTTGTTGTTGTTGTTGTTGTTGTGGTTGTGGTTGTTGTTGTTGTTGTTGTTGTTGTCGTTGTCGTTGTTGTTGTTGTTGTTGTTGTTGTTGTTGGTGTTGTTGGTGTTGTTGTTGTTGTTGTTGGTTGTTGTTGTTGTTGTTGTTGTTTTTGTTGTTGTTGTTTGTTGTTGTTGTTTGTTGTTTGTTGTTGTTGTTGTTGTTGTTGTTGAACATTATTTACTTCTAAAGAATAATTATTGTTGGGACCCCTGGTGCGCGGCCCCCCGCCGCGCCTAGGCCGCAGCCACATTTTCATCATTTTCGTGAGGAAGTCTCAGGCAAAACGTGGTGTCCGGATCCGGTTGTTTTGTTGTCCCCCGTTTTCCCTTGCAAAAAATAAGCTAAAGTGGACATTTCTTGTTCTAACATAACCAAACTTCAAGAATCCCTTGCAAAAAATAAGGTAAAGTGGACATTCGCGCGCGCAAGACGAAATCCTTCCAAAACCTTAGTGTTCGTAGCGATTTTAACATAAAAACATCAAAAAACCAATGGTTTTTCAAAAAAAAATGTCAAAATTTCATCCCGCGCGCTCTTGCGGATTTGTAGGAAACCCAACACTTTTTAAACATTTCTGTCAAACGGGCTTTTGCGAGCAACTTTTTCGAACTTCTGCAACAACGGTTGCGCACCTGCCAGGGCCATCATCCCTGTCAAATAATACCATGCGGGACACATTCGTTTTTTCTTCGCGCGCGCACGCCGTCGTCGTCGGCCGCGGGGCCCTGAATAGTAGCCACGGTCGTCCGCATGCCACGAAGTGAAGTGTCCGAACGTCATAGGGCGGGAAGCTGGGTGTGGGTGGTGGCGAAGAGTCGTTTGGAAATTTGGTAGAGCTTGAACCGGCCCCCCCACAAAGTGGGGGTATTGCCCGCCTCCTATGAAAACCCTGGCACTGGTGAGAACGGTGTGTCCCCACGTGCTAGTAATTGTTGTTGTTGTTGTTGTTGTTGTTGTTGTTGTTGTTGTTGTTGTTGTTGTTGTTGTTGTTGAACATTATTTATTCTAAAGAATAATTATTGTTGGGACCCCTGGTGCGCGGCCCCCTCGCCGCGCCTAGGCCGCAGCCACATTTTCATCATTTTCGTGAGGAAGTCTCAGGCAAAACGTGGGTGTCCGGATCCGGTTGTTTTGTTGTCCCCCGTTTTCCCTTGCAAAAAATAAGCTAAAGTGGACATTTCTTGTTCTAACATAACCAAACTTCAAGAATCCCTTGCAAAAAATAAGGTAAAGTGGACATTCGCGCGCGCAAGACGAAATCCTTCCAAAACCTTAGTTTTCGTAGCGATTTTAACATAAAAACATCAAAAAAAAAACCAATGGTTTTTCAAAAAAAAATGTCAAATTTCATCCCGCGCGCTCTTGCGGATTCGTAGGAAACCCAACACTTTTTAAACATTTCTGTCAAACGGGCTTTTGCGAGCAACTTTTTCGAACTTCTGCAACAACGGTTGCGCACCTGCCAGGGCCATCATCCCTGTCAAATAATACCATGCGGGACACATTCGTTTTTTCTTCGCGCGCGCACGCCGTCGTCGTCGGCCGCGGGGCCCTGAATAGTAGTCGTCCGCATGCCACGAAGTGAAGTGTCCGTTGTGGGTGTGGTGGTGGGTGGTTTGGTAGAGCTTGTTATTGCCCGCCTTATGTGGCACTGGTGAGAACGGAGTGTGTGCTAGTAATGTTGTTGTTGTTGTTGTTGTTGTTGTTGTTGTTGTTGTTGTTGTTGTTGTTGTTGTTTGTCGTCGTCGTCGTTGTTGTTGTTGTTGTTTGTTGTTTGTTGTTTGTTGTTTGTTGTTTGTTGTTTGTTGTTTGTTGTTTGTTGTTGTTGTTGTTCGTAAGGACGTTACCTGGAGGCCCCGGGGGGGGAAACGGGAAACGGGAAACGTGGGGCCCCTGCGGGGCCCCGTCGGGGCCCTTGGGTTCGGTGGGGCTCCCTGTGGGGCCAGAGCCACGATCCTCGAGAGGTGTGTGCCGACATGAAGCCTCGGTGGGGCTCCCTGTGGGGCCAGGGCCACGATCCTCGAGAGGGGTGTGCCGAAATGAGGGCTCGGTGGGGCTCCCTGTAGGGCGAGAGCCACGATCCTCGAGAGGGGTGTGCCGACATGAAGCCTCGGTGGGGCTCCCTGTGGGGCCAGGGCCACGATCCTCGAGAGGGGTGTGCCGAAATGAGGGCTCGGTGGGGCTCCCTGTAGGGCCAGGGCCACGATCCTCTAGAGGGGTGTGCCGAAATGAAGCCTCGGTGGGGCTCCCTGTGGGGCCAGGGCCACGATCCTCGAGAGGGGTGTGCCGAAGTGAAGGCTCGGTGGGACTCCCTGTGGGGCGAGAGCCACGATCCTCGAGAGGGGGATGCCTCGGTGGAGCTCCTTGTGGGGCCAGGGCCACGATCTTCGAGAGGGGTGTGCCGAAATGAGGGCTCGGTGGGGCTCCCTGTAGGGCGAGAGCCACGATCCTCGAGAGGGGTGTGCCGACATGAAGCCTCGG